AAATACAACAAGAATATGGTGAACAAGTATATATAGGTATATATATATATATATATAAAAAGTTTTAATTTGAGGCACAAATCACAATCATACCTCTCGATTTCCGCTATCCTGGCAAGCAAATTACAACAAATTTCATTTTGTGTTTGCGCGGTATTCGATCAAAAACAAACGAAGCGTTAATTTGTAATTACAAAATGTCGTTAGGTGTCAAAAGTAGTACGTGGCAAAGCGATAAACATTAACGATAACAATTACAAAATGAATTACACTTTCTTTAGCGGAAGGCGCAAAAGCTCAAAAATGGCAGCAAAAATAAAACAAAATAATATATGAGATACACAAAATAAAAACTTTTGATATGGAAAAGAAACCACAATTACAATATACATTAAGAGGGCCGCCCAAAATGACTAAAATGCGGTTGGACCGGAGCTCAACAAGTCAGCAAGCCGTCCGGGGCGGTTAGCCTTTGAAGCTCTATATAAATGTATGTATCTATATACATATATAGATATATGATCGCTTTCCATTTGAAATACCGTTAGCTGTTTGTCTGCCTGCCCGCCTGACCGGCCAACAACTTACCTTTTTGAAATGCATCAACGTATCCGAACTATTCTCACACATCTCCGTGATGAGCGTGACGCCGGTAATCAGGATGCCTGCAATGATATGGGATATGAGATGATTGTGCAATGCTTGCATGGAAATGTTCATCAGTCGAACCGTGATTCTTCTCGCTGAGCAGCGAACGTGTGGCCGGCAGAAAGATCTCCATCAGTTCGGGCACACGGCGAATGACTCGGAATGCACACAGTGTCGCCTTTTTGCGGATGTACGTGTTGGGCGACTTCATCAGACGCTCCACCTCGCTGGCCAGGTCACGTGCCATTTCCGGCGATGCGATGGCGCCCAGTGTGCACAGCGCTAATCCCACCACGAATTGCGTCGAGCTGTTCAAATCGCTGCAAGTAGCAAGGTCAAACACAATTAATTATAAATTGCTTGAAAATAAATAAAGTTCATTACCTAATCGTAATTGCTAGCTTTACGGGCAATTTACTTTCTATATCTAGTGATTACAACTATATAAAAAATACGTATAAATTTATTAGTCATAACTAGCTGCAAGTGACTAATATAGTTGAGTTACGTTTATATTACGCCAAACTGGAATTCCGTATGCAAACCGGATTATTGTTATCATTATTATGCGGCTCAATTGGGTCAATTGTGATTAAGCTGATTTATAGCTCTTTCTGTAGTTTTTTCATATCTAATGGCCTTCTAGGTAATTATATTTGCCGAATTATTATTATGATCATTATATTGAGACTTTCAGTTGATAGACCTAGTTAGGAGCAACCTTAACAGAAATTCAGTTGACTCAGCTTGAAGTCTTTAAATAGCTACAGAGTTAATAAAGCTGTACGTGTAGTTTAATTAACTATATTATTGTTGAGCAAATCATAGAGATAAACATATAAAGAGAGTGAGAGGGACAATGTGCAGGTTTTACGCCCTAAAGATGCACGAGCTGCTTTTAAAGTCATTCAAAAAATCACAAGCCCTAATATATTCTATATAAATCCACATGCTATGAAGGTCAAGGCAAGCCTAAACTTTTCTATAACCTATTCTAATTGACAATGATATATATTTGATTTGCTAAATAATCTGATTTCTAGTCTCTGCATTTACAAAAGGTCATACCAAATACAAAACACGAGCTTCGAACTTTCTATTCATCCAGGTTAAACTTACTTTTTTAAACAATTCGTAATCAGCAAATGGACATCTTGACGTTCATCCAATAACAGCATAGCACCCAGATAGCCAATCCGTTTATCTGTGAAACGCGTGCTGGCCGTCAGTTTGAGGCACTCGAGTTGGCCAAAGTGCGCCGGATAGCCGAGCATGTGTATGTACAGCAGCTTGGCAATGTTGCGACAACTGCATGCAACAATCAGAGGGTGAGCGTGCAAGCGGGCGAGAGTGAGATGGAAAACAGGTTAAAATGGCCTGAGAACAATTATTAATGCAATTTTGCTGCCCACACTCACCGCCAGACGGAGTCCTCCTCCCGGAATGTGCTGCGTATGTAGGCGCACTCTTTGTTAACCACGGCCCGCTCCTCGGCAGCGGTGCGGGCGGCGCGTATCTGTCGTATAAGATCACGCAGTCGTGTGGGCGTCGGCATTCTGACTGCACGTGGGCGAAAAAGAGAAGATACAAAATCAGACAGTTTGTTGAGGATGGAAGACGAAGCAATTGCTTAGGGGATGAGTGGAGGCTGGTTACCTCTCTACATCTTTACCCTGCTTACCTCTTTCGACGGCCTCTGTGAATGCCTGCCGTATGGTGGCCATATTGAAGGCTGGATTGAATCTATTGAGCGAAGAAAAAGTGTATTAAAAGAGGTTGATTAGTACATAACGCAGAGATATGCGGGCGTAAATATATATACTATATTATATGTATGTATATACATATATTTATGTATGTACACATATAATGTATTTATTAAAACTGCATACCCATGCTCGGAATTCATTGTGAGGCGTTGCGGCTGCTGCTTCTGCGGCTGTGAAGCACTTTGGTTGTGGCACGCAGACTAAACTGCAGTTGTTGTTGTTGATGGTTCTTTATCTTGATTTTGTTCTGCTGCTGCTTCTTCTTCTTCTTCTTCTACTACTTGCCGGCCTATGCTTTTAAGTTTGCACTCAATTGTTATTGTTGTTGTTGTTGTTTAAATTATTGTTATTTCAGCTGTGTTGGCATCGAGGTGGCAACAGCAATCATATTCGAACTAAGTCGTTCGCCGTTTCGATCAGTTTGCAACACTCGCTGCGCAGCATACGAATAACGATAACAACAACAATAGCAACAACAACAATATCTATGACAGCCGGCCGCTATTCAATTGCAGTTATTTCTTCACTTGTCGCTCTATCTCCCTCTCCCTCTCTCTCACACACAGTCACTCTCCCACACACATATTTGATGCTCTCTCACTGCAAAAGTGTTAACAGTGTACATCAAACTCCAGTTCACTCACTCTCTCTCGCATTCCCTTGATGTTGCTTTGTTTTATCATTATAAACACAAATCACAGTTCACAAACACAATTAGTAATCAACTTATTTCTGTTATGAAATGTTATACACGTACACAAATGGTGTGTGCCTGTGTGTGTGTTTGCCGAGGCTTAAACAAATATGTGGCTATGTATGTATGTATAAGTACATGTGCATATGATCTGTCGCCCGCTCAATGCAAACAAAAAGCTTTACGCTCACTTACACATGAATACCCGCAGACGGTCTGACTTACGCATGTACACATATACATACATACATATTGGTCATATGCATGGACATTAAAGTGCCTTTTAACTGGCATCAGTTACATACGTACAAACATACATACGGTTGTATTTATGTAGCTGGCAGTGCTAGCCAACGAAGCGCAGCGTAGCACAAGTTGAAAAAAGTAGGCTAGGTGTGTAGGGTGTTAATTAAGACGACAAAAAGGTGGAGGCTCACACAAATGCAAAACCATTGGCAGCTGCTGCTACTGATGAAAATGAAATGATTAATTCAGTTGTGGGAATAATGCGAAAACCGCACTTGAAGCATGAGCTGAGCCGAATCGTCGATTAGCGCGCATCGAGTTGACAGCAACACACACATACGCACACACACACACACGCGCTCAAGCAAACATCAAGAGAGGCGTATTAATTCCAATTGGAATACATGAATACAGGTTCTAATTACATTCTTCCTTGAAAATTTTCTAATATGAATAACAAGTAAACAATGCAATCCAAGTTCCTAAGTGAATCGTTAACAACTAATTCAGCTTTTGCTCAAATGCCTGAAAGGCAGTCACAGTCACCAGTTATGGCCAAAACCAAAACAGCTGCCGTCACTGCTTCTTGGTATCGATAATTGGATATCGATATGGTACAATGGGCCATGTATCGAGTGCATTGCATGCGTTGCAAAATATATATATTTTTTAGCATGAAAATGCACATATGTATTTGTGCACACACACTGTAATCTAAAACGTATTATTGTTAAATATTGTATTACTTTCCGTCATTGTTGAATAAAGTAATTTCATTGGAAAGCTCAGGTCCACAGACATCACATACATATATACAGTCACACACACAGAGAGGTATACATGGCACACAACACACACTCAAGCGCCCACTGAGTTAAGCGTATGCTTCTTTTTGGCCACACGAAAAGTAAAACATAAATTAATTCAATGTTGACCGCAAACACAGCAAGATGCTTTTCTTTGTTGTTTTATCTTTTGCTCGCACTAAATATAAACGTTTGCTTAATAGCCACCTGCCGCCTCCGACTTCCAATGCAAATTTTTACAACGCGACAAAAATGCTCGTAGAATGTTGATGATGAGCGCAACAGTAGTAGTAATAGTAGTTGTAGCAGCAGTGAGAGTGAGAGAGCGCTAGCAAGCGGTTGACATTTCGTTTTTGACATTAGCAGAGCTGTTATCGCCAGCCCGCTTTTATCGATAGACCTATTGGCCAAGACGATGGATTCGCGCATAACGTCATTTTTTTGAAATAACAAATCCCCCATTGCCTATTTTTGCAACTTACCTGCGATTGTTTTCCGGTGGCAAAACACTCCAATCCTGTTCATAGTACGGATACATACTTGCAGCGTGACGTTCTCGTTTGTCCCACAAGCAAGCAACAGTTGACAGTAACTAAATACACAAACGCTTACACACACTAAAACTCAGCACAGTTACTGACACTAAAATAGAGTGATAAGCGGCTACGGTGTTCCACATAGACAGTGTGCGTACGTGTTATCTAATGTACATTTATAAGTAATTACGGATCCAATCCCCTCTCTCCACACACACACGCACATATATAGACAAACACACGCGTGCGCGAAATGCTACTGCTCGATGCGCTTTAGGATTTACTACAGAATGGTTATCATATTCTCTTGGAGGCGTATAAGAGCTACTGGATTAGCGGATCTAGGCCAGGAGTGACAATTTGATTATGAGAGGCGGCCCGCGCAAGTCTAACTCTGGCAAAAGACTAAAATCATGAAGTTCGGATCCCTCAGTCCTCGCCGACGTTTACTGCACAGTTCAGGTGAGCGTTTGCATTTGGCTGTGCATAGATAAACCATATGCGATAACTATCGTACTAGACGCTCGCATTGGTGGCATGGCACCCATGGACATGGTATGGCATTCGCTCTGAGCTCTCGATGAACACACATAAACTATACTAACTTATCTTTTAGCTGATAACAAGGAAAAAAAAAAAAAAAAACCGTGAGAACAACAGTTGACACACGTACATGTCTATAATAAAAAATATTTCATGTATGGATAAGGCAAGTCGTCACCGAATACCTACGCGACTGGTGATAAGTCAATGAAAGGTGAAAGCTGTTGCGCGAGGTATATATAAACACATATGTGTCTGTATGATTATCCTTGTATACAAATCGTTTTCTTTTTTTTTTCGTTTCTTGTATTTTATACATGCTTAGGGCTATGCTCTATCTAAACCAAGATGCTATTGTACAACATTGTCACTGATTTCTGTTCTGTTTCGGAATTGGTTTGTCCATTTCGTTGCGTTTGAGTTTCGTATCGTATGAAGCCCTCTCAATCGTTTTCACGCGGCGGACGCACTAAGGAATGTCGCTTGATCGCCTCTACGAGCCATTTGATGCCCTCATCAACGCCTTCGCCGGTGAGCGCAGAGACGGGTATCGTAAGGCAGTCGCGTCGTCCGATCAGTGCACCAGCCTGTTGGAATACTGGTTTTATTTCACGTACACCCATCACATCGGGCAGATCCTGCTTGTTGGCCAGTATTAGTAGTGGCACGCCTGAGAGTAACTCGTTCTTAATCATTTTGTCTGTATGGTCAGGGAATTAGGGAATTAGATAGTGGAATTTTGAGTTGAATTAGTTGCACAGTTACCAAAAATGACTTTCGACTCGTCCATTCGTTCCCGATCATTGGAGTCTATCACATAAATAACGCCATGCGATTCCTGATAGTATTTGTCCCACAGCGACTGCAGCTCCTGCTGGCCACCCAAATCCCAGAAATTCAATCGGACGCCGTGGACGTCGATGGTGCCAATGTTGAGACCGACTGTCGTTGTGATTTTCGCCGGATTCAGCCCTTTGTAATTTTTTGTAAATTTCGTTTTGGCCGCCTCCAAATAGGTCTGTCAACAAAAATTTGCATTATTTACAGTTGCAGACGTGTCGGAGACGAAGTCACTTACCGTTTTGCCAGCATTGTCCAGGCCCAGAATAACGACGCAGTACTCGTCTTTCTGTGTGAGATATTTGTAGAAGCCGTGCAGCAATGTGTACATCTTTGAAATGACTTAGAGTTTTGTGCAATATTAAAATTGCATTCCCAATGAACAATAAATAAATATAAAATAAAAACACAATCTAGGGTTGTTTCTATCCGGGATGGTGCCAGCATACGTGTGAGATTTCCTAGCTGGGTTTTGAGTATGTGGTCACGTCTTAAGGTAACTTGCACAAATAATAAACCTTATGTTCAGTTTAAAATTTATTTTTCAACTCATAATAAGTCGTAATTTAAATATTTTTAAAAATGTTAATTGTAATAATCTTAAGATTCGATTGGCCAGCTTATCGATAGTTGAGTTCAGAAGCTAGCTGGCTAGCAAACAGCTGTTAGTGGCAGCTTCATGATTTGTTTACATTTTTACTACGCACTCTGGCAGCGCTGTTCAGTATTGTCAGCACTCCAGCCAAATGGAGTGCTGTAAAACAAGGTTGTGCCAGCTAACGGGTTTTTAAACGTCTGATAGAAGCATATGAAAGTTATTTATGTAATATGCTAAAAGGTAGACCCCAAAAACCTTTATTTGGATACCAAATGATTACTGGTTATATTAAATAAGGTTCATAACTATTTCTCTAGTAATGGCAATATGCAAACCGGTTCTGTACTGCTGGGATTATCCGAAAATAGTGAAAGCGTTCTGGCATTTAAATCGAATAGAGCAACACATATTGTCCTGAGGACATCAGTACATTTATCCATCCATACGTTAAAGGGGTCACCCGACACGTCTCCAAGCATATTGCGTACATCTGAACCGCTCACCGGCGGCTTGTATGATTTCATGGCTTCTTTTCGCGCCTCACTGGACTGAAGTAGTATATCATCGGTCTCATCCAATGATAAACCCTCAAATCTATAAACAATCCGTTAAGCAGTGTCGATTTTCACCATATGTGTATGTTATACTTATTAAAATGATAATTGTAAGTGCCAACGGGAATCTCTTTGAGGCATACTTTTGACTTATTCTTTCCCTGTGGGCAGGGTGCGAATTCCATATTATAGCACATTTTACGCGGATCGCTGGAAAAGGGGCAAGTTAAGCTCTGATATATTTGGTATATGTCGTGCACTCACTTAAGAAATGCTAAATTTATGGAACATGCATCGGCTGCGCCTACACCCTCATCTATTACCACTCTGAGGACATCATCCATATTGCAGGAGGCTAGTAGAGCTCGGGTTATAAAAGTTCGGGCTGCTGGCACAAATCTCACTTATGTGATCTTGCTTGAATAATTAGATATGTATGGGTGTGCACTTACGCGTTCTGCCGCTTCGTAGATTCTTTGCACATATCGTATTGATGGTAAAAACGAGACCATGGTGATTTTCGCTAAACGTATAGCCTGGCAGGAGGCCAGCATAGCAGAGTGACATGAAACGCTCCTCTTTCACTTTATACTTTCCCTGAGGCTGGTCATTAATGATGTGTGCTACCACAAAATAATACTGGTTCATAGTCTCTATCAGAGCATCCTCCGTATGGCCCATCACACGCTAAGTAGCAATTATACAGAGTCTGATCGCGCGATAGATAGAGTCAAGTTTCTCACTTACGCAATGCTTTTGGTTTAATATAATCGAGGAGCAGCCGCAGGAAGCTTTGGCTGCTGGGCATAACATGTTCTGCGGTAAAATTGCGTCCATTTGCCTTAAAAATAACTGGAAAAGGCAAAAGTTTCCTATATTGTTATCGATAAGTTTTAGACGCATGATACGATAGCATCGCGCGGTCTTTTTGAAGTTGAATTGGAGAGCAATTGGCTTGCTTCCATACGGCATAAGCTGATGATAAGCTGACACCGTCAGGCGGTCAAGGTTAGTGCAAATTTGCGTGCATTTAATTGGTCAACACATTATGGGCAGCTGCGCCACAGCTTAGAACTCAGCTCACGCAGTCACTCGGCCGAATGATAAACAAACAATAATAATAAAAGCAAATCGAAGTTGGAGTCGAATTAGCAGCGCTCAAAGCCAAAGCAAACCCTTGCACCTGAACTAGCGCTGGACTTGGGGAAAGTTCACTTACAATAAATAACTCACACACACACACGCATGTATGAATGTCTGTGTGCACTTAGGCATATTGGCCAAAAGCGAATTCGCGAACAAAACAAATAACAGCAACAGTGTCAAGAAAACGGAACTAGTTCAATGACTGTTCGCTGCACGGCCAATGTGTTTTTTTTTTTTTTTACAGTGGTAATTGCCTAAAGAAGCTAGTTAAGGTTCGAATTAGTTATATTTTGAAATAGAATTGCTACCAACTGCCACAAATTAAACTAAACCAAAATTAAGCTAATCCATAGCAGTGGGGCGTGATCGACTGCATGATTCTCGCTCACGGCTAAATGAATTAAAAAGCGAATCTTAAGTTAAGATCAACAGTAATCCAGTTGCTAATTTAGGCACTCCCAGAAGGCTTACAAGCCCAAGTTTGAAATATAGCACTAAAACTGGAGAAGATATCATCTATCCACAATTCCGAATTATATTTGGTTAAATGTACTTAGCTGTGATTGGACTCCTATATATGTATGTATATGTATGTATTTATCATAAAAGTATTCCTAGTCAAAAAGCGAATCTACTCCATTCAGATCTTGAACGAGTATTATAATGCCAGGCGCTAATTTTAATTGATAATTGTTAATTGCGTTATTAGCGAGTGATTGCTGTTGGTAGTGCTACAATTGCAGAAATGCACAATTATGTGTGAATATATTTGCGTGAATCGTATTTGGCGTTTGTCATTGAACATTGACAACTCGCAGCGAGTGCGCGCCATACAAAAAGAATCTAATAAATTCGTCACGCAACGACCTCATCGTTCGAGTGGCTCACATATCAAGTGTGCTGCTGACACAGACCCCACCATCAAATTATATTAGAAGTAAATATATATAATTGCATCTTAGTTTCTGCCCAGGGTAATCATTAACAATTTGTTGTCGATCGATGCCAAATGCATATAGTAGGTGTTACTCACATGTTCGAATTCCACCTCGGCGCCATCAGCCACGCCCTGCAATTCGAGTATGTACTGTGGAAAACTAGCTTTTACTGATGCCAAAGTTTCGTCATAGATTTTTTCTGTTTAAGTTCGATTAGTGCAATGAGAGGGGGCGCTAATTGGGGCGAATATGCGATTGAATATAGCACAGGTACTCACTGCCCTTGGGGGTGTTATAGAGCGGTAATAAGCTATGGTTCAGAATCTGACATTGAGTCTGAAGATTTCTTATCATCGAGCCAAATGTACGGCCCTAAGTAGGAAATAAATGAGTAACAGCTCTCTGGGTGTGATACGATTCTACTCACCATATCAAAACCGACCTCGTAGTGGGAGCCACGGGTGTAGAGTATGGGTATCGCTTGACGACGAATATGCGGTTCGTTCATTCTTCTATTAAGGAGTTATTTTCTTAAAAGCTACAATTTTGAACAATACTCATAAATTTTGAACAATACTAAACAAGCCAAAATCTAACGAAAATTCTAATTTGATATCTTAAATTGAGGTAAACAAAACTGGCTACTGAGCGATTAATAGAGATTATTAAATAAAATTTATTATTGTTCAATTGCCCTGGGTCAAATATTGCCCATTAACGGTTTGGGACTCTGCAAGGCAATGGCAATGTGTAATGAGGTTCGATAAGGCTTGGATTATCCTAAAAGGGCGTCAGTTACATTGGACATCCCTTTCTCCATCTATCAGAGCCCATTGGCTTGAGACCTTTTTATATAATCTATTTACAGGAATTGCTAATTACGTCCGCCCAGCAACAATCTTTTTAATACAATTTTCTCCCCATATTTCACAATTCCATTTTAAAAAACTTCTGACGTGGAGCGCTCTACGTTAGGCATGAGAATCACATTGTTACATTTGCATAATCCTCTAATAGGAATTACTGTCTCCTTAATTGATCTTTACAGTTACAGAAATTATTACAAATTCGAATCATATTAAGTAATTTGAATACTGATATCATATATATCGTATATTGGCTCAGTATTAGTACGATAGTGGTTTATTGCATATCGATTAGTCAAAAGGATGCGATTGGCAAATATTGCTACTGTCACTTCGCTATCGTATATATTATATCAGTATTACTGCGATAGTGCTATACTGTTTATCGATTAATCGAAAGGATGCCAGTGGCAGTTATTGTAACTGTCATTTCGCGTGCCATTGAATGCTGACAAAGAGCTTCATTTACTGTTCGGTAATGATTAATTTCCATTGAGCATTGAGAACAATAATGTAGCCTAAAATAAGGGAATCAAAAATGATTAATGGCAATTTCTGTTGTGTTCTTTCTTGCTTGTTAAAGTAAATAATTTTATATATAAATAAATAATAAATAAATGATCAATTACTTTGAGTCACGCGTACAGATTGTGCTCTTTATAGAGTTGATAAATTAATTTAAAGTACATACATATGTTATTTGTTGCTATTCTGTGAGAAATCAATTATGGGATATATTTATGAATGTGAATTGAAATTAGCTAATGTGATGACTGCCGACAGAGCCGATCAAGGCTTCAATTTGCTCAACTATTTAAGTGTAATAACTATAACAAGGTGTTGTCAACTGTGAGTGCTTCAAGCCAGCATTAAACGATTTTAATCGATCGTCCAATTAGAGATGCTAATGAACGCATAAGCCAAAGCAAACCATTACACCTGAGTAATTCCCTGGCTGCATTAGATAATTTGTTTTACGGCTTCTTTCATTTCACGTTGACAGTTTTTGCAAGTGCAAATTGACGTTAACCTGAACCGCAACAATGTCAAGAAAAACGGAACTAGTTCAATGACAAGTTCATTTCATGGCCAGTGCGTATGTTTTTCTAAATAACTCGTATTCACGTTTTAATTACCAAACTGCGTCGACTAAATATCTGTAAAAAATTATTATTTCTAGATTCTGTATAGATTCGGCTAACTAGGTCACTAACTTGTCCTCAACGACGATATGATTTTCGGTCAGATGGACAGACGAGCGGATATGCGAATGTACTCTGTTCAGATCTTGAACGAGTATCATAAAGCCAGGCGCTAAGTTTAATTGATAATTGTTATTAGCGATTGTCATTAGCGAATGATTGCTGTTAATAGTGGTACAGAAATGTACAATCTCAATCATTAATCATTTTCGCTGTCAGTCGATGCCAAACACATAAGTTGTTATTCCAATTGGCTCATCTATAAAAATATTCACCTCGTTAGCCACGCCCTGTCAGAGTCTCCTCAAAGACTTTCCTTTAGATTCCCTTAGATAAAAGCAACAAGACCGCTGTCTGCTGCCGTCAGCGTTCATCAGTTCTTGAGAGAGCGCATTTGGCATGGTATTCTTAATACTAAATATTCACACAGACCAGTTAGGCCTAAGCCAAAAGCTTACACGTAAAATATAGAAACTAAATGCAGCTTGCGTTGACTGATTGAGCTATAAAATGCATTAATCTAGTTGAAAGAAAAAAAAAAAACACAAAAATTACAAAAAAATTATCATATTAATAGAAAAGATCCAAGGTCCTATCGATAACATTTCAAGGCTCTGCCAACACTGACATTGACAGTCTGGCAATGCTGCTGCTGCTGAAAAATAGTTTCAAATTTAGAACACATTTGAAGTCAACTTCTGAAGCTGAAATTTTATTTATGCATATACATATAAACTATTGCTTAAGGCGAACAATATATATTTTAAAAATAATTGCTAAATATTTGCTGATTACCAATTATTGATATTTCTCAAAAAAAAAAAAAAAAGTTATGATAAAATATTGTTTATATTTCACAATGAGTAAGCGCCGAGTTATTTGTACAGCATGGGCAACGTGCAATGGGGCTCGGTTAGGCTGGGATTGTCCGAGTAGAGCGCAAAGGTCTTGGCATTCAAATCGAACAGGCCCATAGCTATAGTCTTTACTGCTTCATCGGCTCTGCCATTATCGCGCCACACGCAGAAGCAGCCGCCGGTTACGTCGCCCAGCATGTTACGGACATCTTGCTCGCTGGCTGGTGGCTTATACTTGCTAAAGGCGTTCATGCGCGATATGCTTGACTGAATCATCGGCTCATTGGCCTGATCCAAGAGGATGCGTTCGAATCTGTTTGATGAAACTGAATTGAGTATGCTTCCAGCTATGGGCACGATTACTGTACATACTGATTGACGTGATAATTATGCCCGCCTAGCGATATCTCCTTGATGCTCAAATGTGATTCGTTCTTCTTGTCCGGATTCGGTGCCATTTCTATGTTGTAGAACATCTGACGTGGATCGCTGAAAGCCAAACAGACCGAATTAATTGATAAATTCACATAATTCCATAACGCACTTACGATATAAATGCTAAATTAATGGAACAGGCATCGGCGGCGCCTACGCCGGCATCTGCCAGCACCCTGAAGGCGTCGTCCACGTTGCTTGTGGCGAGCAGAGCTCGGGTCAGGAAATGACGAGCTGTAAGTGGGCATTAATTCGAGAATATATACATATGTATGTACATATCTATATATGTATGTATATAATTAATAATAGTATTTTGACTCTTACGCGTCTTGCCGCTGCGCAGCAGCTCGGCGCTAATTGTGTTGATACTGAAGACGAGCCCATGATGATTGTGACTCATGGTGTAGCCAGGCAGGTGTCCGGCATAGCAGAGGGACATAAAGTGCTCCTCCTTCACATTGTACTTGCCCTGCGGCTTGTCGCTAATGATGTGGGCGACCACAAAGTAATAATGATTCAGTGTCTCTGTGAGAGCATCCTCTGTGTGGCCCAGCAGGCGCTGAGGATTAAAACTCGGTCGTGACAGAGTCTGTGCGAAGATTTTTTATAGTTTATTTTATACTTACACAATGCTTTTGATTAACAATGATCGAGGAGCAGCCCGTGGGTTGATTTTTGTGGCGCGGTTGATGCTTCATGGCCTGCGGCAGAATTTCGTCCAGATGCAACAAGAATAACTGTAAAAGAGATTCGTTGAGCGTTGCCCATAGCCGTTAATAATTCGTATTCTAATATCGATAAGGCTTCACTCTCATATCGTATGATATGATACATATCGATAGTATTGTATCTTATGCCATATCTGGCTTTGATTCGAATAATTGAAAGGATGCGACTGGCAGTTTTTTCAACTCTCATTTCAAGTGCCGTTGAACGCAGACAAAATGATTAATTTATTATTAATAATTCATTGCCAAATCCATTTATGCGGTGCCGTTTGAAATCCAATAATGTAGCTAAAAATATTGCCAAAAATGATTAATGGCAATTCCCATTGTGTTCTCTTTCAATAGAGCCCAAAATACATTGTTTTGAAATAAGGTGAATGATCAATAAATGATCAATTATTATGAGTCGCACGTACACCTGTAATTTGTATGTTTTTTATTGTCGAAATTGTATTCATCATATAAATTTGTACACCAATTTTTGTGTACAAAACTTTTTTGCAATTGGCCGAGAAAAGAAAAGGCAAATATTGTTAAATGACTATCAAATTAATTGTGCATTGACATCAGTCAATGGGCCAGCTGCCGACAGAGCCGATCAAGGCCATTCATTTGAGCTGCAATAAGAACAAGAATTATACCGAGCCGAGCTATTGCCAACTGCGAATTCCTTAAACCCCATTAAAACCTCTAATCGATCGTCTAATTAGAGATGCTAATAAACTGATAAGCTAAAGCAAACCATTACACCTGACTTATTCCCTGCCAGCATTGGATAATTATCTGTTCTAAGGCTTCCTTCTTTGCACGTTGTCTAAGTGCGAATCGATGTAAGCCAGAGCCACAGCAATGTCAAGAAAAACGAAACTAGTTCAATGGCTAGTTCACATACTATATATATTTTTCTGCATCGCTTGTATTAACGCTTTAACTGCCTAAATACCTGGATAAAGTAACTGTAAGAAAATACAATAACTCCAAGTCAAGAAATTGGAAATTAGAGTCTATTTGAGTACAGATATAACGCAGTCGACTATACCCGACTGCAACGGTATTTGCTGTGGTTTTTTTTTGTTTTTTTTTTGGCTCGTTAATATGTGTGAGAAATAGTTATAAGCAGCTCAAATATTTACGTTTAATTAATATGCAATTGAAAACAATTGCATTATTGCATGGCATTATCATAGCCCATTGATAATTATGTTTGCAGTCGTTCGTTATAGTTGAGTGCTAACTGTAATTATTATTAAATAAATATTATGGACAATTATGTGTGAATATTTAGTTGCTTGATTGTCATTGAACATTGACAACTTGCAACACATGCAACATGCAACGTGCAACACGCAACGGCGCGCAACGACTTTGGCATTAGGTTCACCGTTAGAATCGCTCAAGTTGAAGTGCGCTGCCAGCGATCCGTACGAGAGCCAATAATTGTTAATTAAACGATTACTTTAAACGAGGTTTTCAGGGTATAATGGCTTTGCTGGTCTATATGTGACAGGGTAATGGCTAGGCG